ATCAGGGAATGTACATTACATTAAGACACATATCTAGGGAACACTCAAAATTCTGTGTGAGTCCCTGATTACTATACTGCCTATGGCATGACTTGGGGGTCTTAAATATGATTGAGTCAACTTTATCCTATTATAAGTGTTACCTTTTTTCATATTTCTTAATTAGCAATGTATGCCCTGTTCCAGCTCTTATGATTATCTGAGAGAACATTTTCGCTCTGAGCATTTTTTATGTGAAGAGGGCAACTGCATGGAGGAAAAGTTTACATCTGTCTTCCGCACAGAAATTGATTTGAAGGGTGAGTAAATAGCATTTTGAGATGTAAAATTTGATTCCAAAGCATAATGAACAAAGTGGAAAGAAGTTTTCTGGGGTTTGTTGCAGCACACAGGGCCTCTGTTCATGGACGCAGCATTGGGAAAGCTGCCACAAAACAAGCACGTATGTTGGAATTGGAATTTACACTTGCTCCACGGCCACGAGACCGACTTGATGGAATGCGAGGTGGCCGAAGAGGAAGTGGACGACAGCGTATGCGGCATGATGAAGAGGAGCCCCAGGGAGCTGTTGGAGGGGACTGTGACAATCAGCACTTTGACCCAGCGCCTATGTTTCGGAATGCTCCAAATATCAATACAAGTTGTATTGAAGAGTTTCCAACACTTGGTGGTGAAGCACCTCCAGTATTAGGTCCTCCTCTTAGACAGAATTCACGTAAAGTTCCAGCAAACAATAGTGGACTGACAATAAGAACTGTCCATCAGTCTCAGCCATTAGCTATTACAGATGAGAATTTTCCTGCACTTGGACTTGAAGGATCCACTGGTGGGTGTAAGACTGTCAGGCTAAGTGTTAACAGTGGCAGCCAAGATCGGCCAAACTCTGCTGCAGCAAGTTCCATAAGGGGCAGTAATCAAAAGGCACCTACCAATGTTTCTATACATGTTAATCATCGTCCAAGTGGTAGCAGTCAAAACATACATATCAGACCTACATCCGTTCCTTCGCAGTTTCACAGTGATTTTCCATCTCTCAGTGGGTCCAAAGTATCCACTGCCAGTTCTTCTGTACAGTGGCTAGGTAACCATGGCAGCATGGGAGCAAAAACCAAAGTTCAACCACAAACACAGGCTCCAAGAGCATTTAAAACAGAAGAGGATTTTCCAAGCCTGAGTTCTAAATTCAGTACAGGCTGTAATGTTGCAAACACAACCTCATCTTCAGATGCAGGCAGTGACGATAGGTTTAAAAAAGCATCTTCTGTAATGATTCCTGTTACATCATCCTGGACAATGACTCAAGGATCTTCTGATGTTTCTAGGATTCATGAAAGTTCTGGGGAACCAAGTGGTATTCCAGGTAGATCAAATTATGATATTCTTGCCAACACCACCAGCAGCCTAGGAAATATCAAGGTTAAATCCAGAAAAAAGAAAACTAAAAATGCTGTATCACATAATGCCAACATGTACAGTAATGACTCAGTTTTGACAAAACCTGCACAATCTGCAGTCAGCGAGTCTGGGAAGAGGAAAAAGAAGCAAGGGAATAGAGAAGCCGAAGTGCAGCAAAACACACAAACCAACAAGAATGACTGTGAAAATAGGGAAAATGAGAAGCCAGCAGAATTTGGAAATGGTACAGATAACTCGTCCACCTTTGAGCGAAAGAGATCAGAATTACTGATTCAGAGCTTGACACCCCAGGATGCTACAGAAGATAATAATAATGAATTATCCACATCTTTCAACGACAGGGTTTATGAGGATATGTATCCCCCTTTCAGTAGTGAAATACTGGATGACTTTCATGCAATTGGAAGTCCTGGATGTTGGCCTCCAGGATTAGATGTTCCTGTTAACAGAGGGAAATTATCATCTGCACCTCCACCTGGTTTTGGTGGTACCACAAATAGCTGTAGTACTACAGCACCACCTCCAGGTTTTTCAGTAACTCTTAATTCTGTTGCACGACCCCAGTCCAATGGCCTTACATTCACCAGTAGCAGTGGCCAGAGCTATTCAATTCTTCCAGGAAGGTCTGGGAACAGTTATAAATTTGTTCCACCACAAGACTTTTCCCATCGGAATCAAGCATTGGTAACACGAGTAAAGAAAATGTTGGGTGATGCTCAATCCGTGGACGAGTTTTGCCAGCTCTCAAAAATGTTTCGTCAGGGTGACATCAGCGCTTCAGATTTCTACACACACTGCCAGGAAAAAATGGGCATGAAAGAATTTACAGAAATCTTTGCAGAGCTTCTTGTCCTCCTGCCCGATATAGAGAAACAACAGGTAAGACTGCTTTGAAGGACTTATTGGCTATCATCTTGCCTTTACCCAAAATATAAATAACTGGAAGTCTTAAGGGAGGATTAAAGAAGGAGAATTTTTTAAGAAAATGAATTGCGTCACAGCCAGTCCCTGGAGTATGGAGCTGTTTGATCAGTTACAGAAATACAGTTCTTTAAGAACTGCTTCCAGGAACATCTGAAAATGATATTGGGGGGGGGGGTGAAGAAGCCTACTCTGAGCCACACTTTGCTCCTTTAGATTACAGATTCTCATGGTGGTGTGTAAGATGATGGCCATCTTTTTTTATGCCCCATGTATAGTTTTGTGTATAGTGACAGCTTACTGTCTCCGTCATCATTGTCAAGTTCCTTTTCCACATTTTCTTGCGTCAACTGTCAATTCTTCAATGAAACAAATTAGTTTTGTAAATTTGTCAAGGGGTGTTCAAACTATTATCACAGGAATGACAAGCTTTTTTTTTAATTTTTGTATTGTGTGATGGGAACACTTGCAGTATTAACATATAGAAGATTGAGAAGCATGACTTCTCATACTGTGTTTGAAGCTCTGATGAATTTCAGGCTTTTTCACAACTTTCTATCGAGAAATTTAATAATAATATAACCCACTGAACTACAAATGTTTATAGATAACATCATCTTACTGAATGCGTTGCCATTGTTCCATGCTGTTTATCATACTGATAACACATATAGCATATTACTGAACTGTGTCAAATCTCTGATTTTAAGGGAATAGAAACCAGGTCAAATTTGAACATGTATTTATTTTATTGCCAAACACAAATTTCTTTTTATGCAGGAGCTGTGGTCTGTTCATGCTGATACTGGAAAGTGGTCAGCAAAGGACCTTGAGGTATGTGCCACGTGTCAGCAGGTTCTGTCAGCTGCTGACCTCCGCCATCATGTTGGCAGTCACACACTTGAGAACCATTTTCCAGCCCTTGGGTCATCAGAACCTGTGTCACAAACATGGGGCAAGAAGTAATAGCATATTGAATGTGCCAACAGTCCGGAATCAAGAGGAGCATTGGTATTGATTCTTGTCATCGTATTTGCTCATACATGATGAACTGACATAAAATCAAGCCATTATTTTTTCCTTGAATTTCCTTTAATACAGTTTGGTGCCTGTTAAGACGCTTTACATAGATGTAATAAAACATTACATATGGAAAAATTATTTATGTATTTATGCAAGAATCCTTGGACCACATGTGATATTTTTTCTAGTTGAGACAGATGGAAGTGATAGCATTCAGAGAGCTAATAGAACAATCCTATGTGTGCAGTATTTTCATTTTACTATTGTTACCAGATCCTTGCCAAGTTCCCAGTGTTTCCATATGTTCTTACATGTGTTATAACTGATACCAAAATATGCATAAGCAGTGTTACTCTGCAGGTGAATTTTATAAATGACTTGTGACATAAATTTAAGTAAGATTATGTCTTTTCGCACAGCACCTAACAAGTTAAAGCAGTGTTTCTCAACTTATGTGCTGTGACACTTTTAATTTAAATGATTTCATGAAGTGTTGTTATGGAAATTAAATACTGTTTGGCATTGTGCTGCTGTTTCTTTGTTAAACTGTTGATGCCTCAGTTGTGCTGTCTGAGAATAGCCATTTTGAACATTGATATAGTGTCCTCTCCATCATCATTCATTACTTTTTTTCCTAAAATGAGTAATTTTTTAGTGAATGAAGCAGCATATTACATGAAACTCTATTCATCAGCCCCTTTACATATGATATCCAGTGGCATGCTTCTTATTAAAATAATGATACCATCCACTTTCATTATGCCTGAACATAATCTCAAATGATTAGCACTTAAATAATGCCTGAAGCTGATACAGTGACCATTAAATAATTTAAAAACCAGCCAAGCAATCTTCCATAATTTTAAATTGCATGTTATGTGTGTGCTAATTGTCATGTATTTTTCATATTGCAAATCTGATGCTAAGTATTCTGTTATATCATGCCACCCCCACCCCCAAATAAGAGTATGACTGCTAAAATTTCAGAATAGAATGATTGATCTAAACCATACTGTCACAGTGATGGGGCAGTTGCTGGTTTATATGCTGCACTGTGCACTATGCAGTTGAGAAGATTGTAGGTCAATTTATTCATATTGTACAGTCTTCAAAGAAATAAAATTTCTTCTAATAAGCTGTTCTTCACTGTCATTTGTAAGCCCTCTCAGACAGTAACAAACTGTTTCTACAGCAGGCAGGGAAGAAGTGTGTTGAGTTGGTAGGGGCAAGAAAAAATTTGACCGAAAAATGGAAATATGAAATTCAGCCTGATAAAGGAACAGAATCTTATACATGTATGCTGGTGAGCACTTCTTGGGGGCAATATACATATTAAAGACTGAATTTAACAAGAGGTCCACAACAAACTACCAGGGTCACTTTATTATTAAAGACTGCACAATGGAATCAGATTTAGTGGCAGAGGACCCGAAAAGTGTTAATGACTTATTACAGATTGCATTTTTGTATACTTGCACCTTTACCGATTCATCTGCAAGGCAACACTTTCAGGGAAGAGTATTTGTGACCAGGGCTGAATTAATAATTTGGAGTAGACTGACATAGTAAATAGCAGAATCCAATGTATGGACCATAGATATATTATACAAGCCTGCCATTTTTAATGTAAGGGATACATTACCTAGTAGCAACTTACACAATAGTTTACACGTTGTCATTTATGATTATCATCTAAGGTTGAACTTCTGATATGTTTTGCAACACTATGATTGATTAAATTTATTGTCTATAAATGTGTAATAATCATCACTCTGGAATGACAGATTTATATGAAATTGTGCTGTGTAAACGACTAAATGCAATTTGTCCCAGCTGGCATCAAGTTCCATGTTACACATAAAGGCTTCAATCCATTTTTGGTGTATTTCAGTAGGGATTAAATTTCCTCCTTTCTGTGTCCTCTCTCTTACGCTTCAAGCTTGTTCATTTC